GCGGTGCAGCCAGCATGCTCTCAGCAGCACAGACATAGGCCATTCAACCCATTTTGCAGATGTAAGCCAGCCCCAGAGAGCCCTTGTGACAGCCTAGCCCACGTCCATTTATTGACCACACCTGGGGAAGAGGGGCTGCCCTGCCAGCACCCCACAAACCCTCTGCTTTCATTCCCTGACGTCATCTCTGCTTGCCCCGTTGGTGCCCTGACACCTCCTCAGTGCATCCCACAGTTCCCAGTGCCAACAGCTGCCTCTTCTCCCCACTGCCCTTTCTTTCACAAAGCCTGGTACTTCGGCTTCCAAAGGGGAAGGGCTCCTGGCACTCATCGCATTCAGCGTGGGTCCTGCCAGCACCCTGCAGCTCAGCACAAGGCAAGCAGTGATGTCCCCTGCCACCACAGTCTGTGTCCCAGCCAGTTAACAAGGCTGCCATCACCAGCTAGAAAGAAAAATCACACTAATACACCACACACAGCTTGTTAATTGCAAGAGAATTTAAAAAATTGATCAGATGATGCCACTATATTTTTACTCATGTTTGTTTCTGAGATAGTCGGTACATCTGAGGTTTTCTGAGTTGGACCACAGTCGTAGGAAAGGTTTGATTCCCACCACAGCTACACATCATTTGGACTGGAAGAAATAAGAGCAGGCAAATCCCTTCATCTCCTGGCAGGAGGAAACATGTTAGCAGAGCACTTGGGCAGAGGCACTGAAAAGGGAAGGGCAAGCGTCCTGTAGTCTCACTTCCAGGGCTAGAGCTCACAGTAATGATATTATTTTGCATTTATGTGGTGCCTTTCATAAAACCATGAAGCATTTTGCAAAGCTGTAAGTTGTTGCTGTATGGAGGAGAAAAGCCGAGATGCCTGCAGCTGCCTGCAGGCAGAGTGCTTCCTGCAGAGCACCAAAATTATGCCATGGGGGTGGTTCCATCCCGAGCTGATGGACACAAAGAAAAAGCCGGCAGACCCAGCCACATCAGGAGTTTGGCAGCTCACCAGGATCAGCCCAGCTCCTCCCCACTTGCTCAGGTGAGGGTGAACCTTGGAGACTTTGTCCCCCACCCAGGGTGGAAAATTGGGCAGATGGCACATCCCTGTCAACCCTGGACAAACTTTGGGGGTGGCCACAGAGAGGGGAAGCAGCACATATTGCCCAGCAGGAGAAAGCATCCTACACACACACACTGCTCATTACTCCTGCATCCCTCCCCATCTTCAACCCATCCCTCTGGGGTCCCCTAGCAGTAAAGGGTGGCAAGGAGGAAGAAGAGTGGGAGGAAGAGCACCCGCAGCATGGCCAGGCAGGCAAAGGCAGTGGGGGTGATGTGCATCTGTCTGCCCCACAGCATTCAGTCCCACTGGGACTGAGCTCCACTTCCCCAGGCCCATCAGCCGAAACTGGTAGGGGCTGCAGGGGCCAAAGACGACCTCCAGGGCCAGCCACACGTCCATCAGCAGGAGCTTCAGTATGTTGGGCTTCATGTCAATGGCCGAGCCCAGCTCATCCATGTAGCTGATATAATGTCTGCAGCGTGGTGCTGTTCCCGTACCTTCCGGGGAGAGAGAGGAAAACAGGGGCTGCTTTAGGTTTGCCCCCCCCCTTTGTTTTCTTTTCTTTAAGCACAGTGAAAGCAGAATCTGTCCTCTGCTCTCCCCCACCAAATCTGGGGAGCAGATCTGGCTGGGGGCCACAGCTCCAGGGGATTTGCGTTATTGCTGCTGTTAGCAGAGGAGTCTGTCTCACAAGAAAACATTGCGTTTTGAAACTTCCTACAATGCAACAGTTTCTAAAAACAAAAGAAAACATTGCTTGGGCCAGATTCAGCTTTTACTGGTTCTATTCATACTTTTAAAGTACTGCTTCACTATAATATCAGATACAGTCAGAGATGGGGAAAGCAAGGCACTTCCATGGACTTTATGAAACAAAAAAGTGTCACTTTGAAGACTAATGATGGAAATGTTCTATTTCTGCTGGGGCCTCACCCTGATCGTGTGTGAATGAGAAATGCTTTTTCAGCCTGATAATGCTCAGTGATGGCAAGCAAGCATTTGCAGACAGGAGATCTTTCCATCACAAATTTTCCACCCAAACTTGCCTGATTCAGGCCTCTGCAGTGCCTGTGTCCAGCCCATTTGGGGCTGAGACGATGGCAGGGCTCTTCTGCCAGCACAGGGAGTCCCATGAGCTGCGCTTACCACTTGAGCTTCTTCTCCATCTTCTCATCAGTGTCATCCATCATCTCACTGACTGGGGGGAGCATGCACCGTCCTGGAAAGAGCAGGAAGAGCATCGGCAAAGGGAAGTGATGCCCAAGAGATCCCTCCTGCTATAGACGGGATTTGCAGGGATCAGCTGAAGCCCTTGAGTGCCTCTCTTCCCTTTGGTGTCCAGAACTGGGCTTGGGTGTTGAGGATGTGACAACACTGGGTCCCCTGTCCTTAAAGGTGTGCAGTGATGCCCAAGAGGCTCTTCATCCCCATCACAGGGGCTTCATTGGTATTTGCAGTGGGCTGAAAAGTGACCTGCTCCCACGGCCAAAAGCACCCCATCACATGGAGAACCCATTGTTGGTATTCCTGACCAAACCCCACTGTGTTCCTCAGCACTCAGGCATTGCCCTGGTTTTCAGTTTGAGCCTGCCCGTTGGTGCTGGGAAATGCTACTTCCCATTAACAGAAAATAGACCTTTCCCCAGCACATGTCCATCCACCTACCCTGAAACACCTTGCCTGCCCAGCGGCACTGGAGGTCTGCTGTTGGGGTGATGGGTCCAAGGGACTGGACCAGCCCAATGACTTTCACGATTGGCTTCTTGAGCTGAGGAGGGAGGATGCCTTTGTAGAGGGTGACCTGATTGTCCCTGCTTTTGATGATGGAATCATCCTCCACAAAAGGGTAGGAGTAACTGTAACCAGTGACGAAGACGACCATATTGACATCATCCTGCGCAATCCCATCTTGGAACAAAATGGATGCCTCTCTGAACTCCTTCGCATTTGGCTTTATCACCACCACACCACAGGCAATGCGGCTCTGGAGGTTGTCATTGAACACCGGCTCCTTGCATGAAGTTCTGCAAGGGCAAATGCAGTGGAACTGTCACAGATGTGGCTTCTGCTGCTGGCCCAGGATAAGCACAGTCTAGCCCCGTCCAGAATCAGCACGCCTGGAGGGTTTGGGGATGGATGGCCCCATGTATACCTGTTCAGTGGCATGAAAAGTTCTCGTGTTTGAAGAACCAGTTCATGGTTCACTCTCACATACAGCCAGTCGCTGAGCGCCCTGGGGAGGAAGTTCCCCAGCCAGGTCTGGAAACAAGTGATGACCAGCATGTCCCAGGGGTAGCCATTATCCCAAATGCGGCTCATCACCCAGGACCCTCTTCAGGAGCTCAGATAGACCTGGGGAAACAGCCAGGAAAGGGTGAGTTGCCCCCACGATGGCTGCAAGCCCCCAGGGCTGTCTCACAGAGGCAGCGGCATGTGCTTGAGCAGATAGGGACCTCCTCCTTCCCCAGTGGCTCTGGTGTAGGTCCCTGTACCTGCGATGCCACAGTACTGAGCTCCATGGCAACGTCACAGCTGGAGGTGCCCAAGCCTATCACCAGCACCTTCTTCCCTCTGAACTTCTCCAGCTCCTTATACTCTCATCTGTGGAAGTAGCAGCCTTTAAACTTCTGTATTCCTGGGAAGGAGAACAGAAAGGGTCATAATTCACCCCAGCAATGAAAAGGAGAGGCTGTGCTGGCCTTGGGATCTCCCATTCTTGCAGATGCTGCTGGAGCATCTGTCTGAGCCTTTCTCACTGTAGCAGATGTCTCTTGTACACAGAGGGATGCTGCAAACCCGTAGTCGGATGGGATTTTTCTCTGGCTTCATACAATATTTAAAGAGAAAGAGGGTGCAAGCACAAGATACCCTTGCATGGTATTTCTGTACCCCAAAAGGGCACTATTGCAAGCCCAACATTGCCCCGAGGTGCCTGGATAGCCACACTCCATCCCCTCAGCATGGCTTTACACTCTTGCGGTAGTGAGCGACAGGGAAGCAGCTTTCATTTTTTAAAAGAGAAGACAGCGAAGGACCTGAGGGGAGTTTTCCTTGACCAGTCAGTGCCTCAAGCCCATGTCCTCCAAACAGACACCCAGCACCAAATATTTCTTGCCAGAGAGAAAGTCTTTCCCAATAATGTGCCTGTACACAGAGAGGCAAAGGCTGTCGGGTAACATGCATGACATTTGTACTAGACCTCATGGGAAAATGCCCCCCCCCCAAAAAGTGTTGTACAAAATCCTTTTATGAAAAATAATCTGTTAAAGGAAACAGCCTGAGACAATTTTTTTCCTGTGAAAGATTAGCATTGTCCCTGCTTTGATATAATTTGGATACTGAGTCTTTCTTAAAAACAAACAGGTTTTTATTTCCTGAACAGACCCCCATCCCCAAAAATATTGCTCTCTTTTTAATGCTGAAAAGGCATTTTTTGCAGAGAACAACAATGTGATGGAAAGTTGTTGCTCAGCTGTGTCCCAGTGGATGAAGTCCACATGCACAACTTACCTGGGAAGTCGGCGAGGGGGAGGTTTGGGTAGATGTGATGCCCAGAGCAAACCATAACAGCATCAAAACCCGCTGTCTCTTCCTTCCCATCTCTCTGGGTCACCACCTCCCATTGCCTTGTCACAGAAAAGTCTGCATGTTTTTTAGCCTTGGTGACCAGGGTCTTAAAGCAAACAAAAGAGATCCATGGGTGTCCACATAGTGGACCGAGATGTTTAAGGAGTCAGTGGGATTCAGAGGTCTCGGGGAGCCCAGGGGGTGTTTGCGCCTGCAATTTCATGCTGGCAGCTCTGGGGAGTGCACAGAGGGGACCTGATGAGACCTTCTTTAACAAAACCAGGAGGCTTTTTCCCTGGAATATGTTCTTGCAGGATTTTCCCTGTGGCAGGGAGACCCGGGTATGGAGGCAATGTCCCTCCTGTCTAGGTCCCCACCACTACTCGCTGCCCCTCTCCGCTCCCAGCTTTTTACCTTGAACTGTATGTACCGGAGCAGGTCGAAGTGCTCAGCATACTTGGAGATGTAGTGCTGGAACCTGGCATTGTGCATGTAGTTGAGGTGGTGATCAGGGAAGGGGAAGTCAGAGTAACACATCATCTCTCTGCAGGAGTTGGTGAAGACAGTGTGGTAGATGCTGGCTCTGCCTTCGTCTGCCTGGTCCTGGAGGGAGAGGAGCATGGACATGTCCAATTGCAGAGGACATGACCCTTGCCTGTCCTGGAGCCCTGCACCAGCTCCTCCAGATACCATCACCCCTGGCCTCCACCTCCAGGCTGGAGCCAGAGAAAAACGGCAAAGCCATCAAGTGCAGTAGCCTAATAACCCCCTATGAGCACAAAAGTGTCCTAACAGGCCAGAAGGAGGGTTTGCATTGCCCAAGGCATTTAGGAGCCGGTTACACGCATATCTGCCAGGGAAAGTGGAAACCCCAGGGAAAGTGAGTGCTGTGGAAGGACCACGCCAGAGCCTCTTCACTGCACATCCAGAAGACATCAGGAGGTCAGGTGTGAGACAGCTACGCTTGTGCACATGGACACATGCCAAGTATCACACAAGGTAAGTAACATGGGACCTCCCAGTGCCCAGCTTCCTCCTGGTCTGCCTGTAAAGCTTCCAAAATCCTGCAGGCACACCTGGACATCGCTCCTTTTTGCGCACGGTCTTGGCAATTGCACAGTCGAAGGCAGAAGCCCAGCAAGGTGCGTTTGCTTTGGCACAGCATCTCGGCTGCCCATGCTTTATGCAACCACAGGGAAGGTCTGTCGTGGGATGTGGACAGAGGCTTGTGTCTACCACCCAGCAATGCCCATGCCAGCCAGCCAGTGTCCCGCTGACATCTAGAAGGTCAGGACATGGGGAATCTACCAAAATCCCGCAGACTACCATGCATGCGGTGGGGCCCAGGCTGGCCTGGTCCAATTCTGCCCAAAATGGCCAGCCCCATGCATTGCCCTGTCCCCATCGAGGGGGCACCTGCCATGTCTGCCCTGACACTTGGCACTTAACAGCAAAAAACACAGGTAGTGCATTTCCCTTTCCTGATGGCTTTGATGCCAGGACAGAGCTGGGAAAAAATGCAGTGAGGTTTCTGCACTGGAAAATTCGTATTTGGGTTTCCAATAAAACAAAAAACCCAAACAGAAAAGGAGCTGATGTGTTTTTCACTTTTTCCCTTGATAGCAATATCCTGTTCTGAAATTCTCCATCATACATATCAAAAAGTATTGCCAAACTTTCTGGAGGAATTCACTGGAGCCCTCCCCAGAAAAGACAGAAAACGTGTGGTCCATGTTTTGAGATGAATCCAATGTTTCAGATCACCTAGAACATGCCATCCCCCTCTGCCCCGGGGTTTAACTCACACGGGCTCAATTCCTTTCCTTAACAGCACCCTGAGCTGCTTCTGCAAGTGCGATCACACACCAAACCATCCCCTCAGCCCCAGCCTGCCAGTGGGTGGGCACATGACACAAGATGGCTCTGGGTCCGACCCTCTAATTATTCATTCAGGCTCCTTTTTGGCTTCATGGTACATGGCCACTGTGTTAAAGCACACTGATTGCTACCCTGAGCAGCAGCGAGTGCTCCCCAAGGTGGGGTGACTGCTGGCAGCCCCACAAGTAACTTTCGCAGGGCCTGAAGACCTGCACTTCGGAGATGTCCCTACCTCCATGGGCTTTGGGGGGAGCATGTCTTTGGTGCAGCCCTGAGGGGTTTGCAGCCCCTTAGCTGGGGAGAAGCTGGTGGCTCCCTCCATCCCCAAAGGTGAGGGGTTGGCAGTTCAGAGTAGACTTGGCTCAGAAAGCCAAGGGATGGCCAGGCTGCCCCCAGGGTAAGAGAGAGGACCTGGGGACCTGTATTGAACCAGCCAAGCCCTCCCATGTGCAGCCATCAGAGCAGAGCAAGTGGGTGCAGGCACATAGGTTGCAGCCAGGTACAACCTCCCAGCCCCGAGGACACAGGTTTTCCTAGCCAGCTCTGAAACCAGGCAGCCAAAGCCACTCACCATGTAGGACCATAGCCCTCTGATGTTCTTGCTCTGCTCGAAGCAGGTGGGCTCCAACCCCTCTTCCACGCAGCACTTGGTGGCCGCCAGCCCACTGATGCTTGTGCCCACCGCCACCTCGTGCCACACCATGCCATCGTGCCTGCAGGGGAATGCAGCTGTGGTGGAGCAGAGACTGGCCAGGCACACTTGCCCAGGTGGGTCTGCACCCCTCAGCAATGTCCCGCAGGAGCAGGGCACCTCCTCCTCTGCACAACTCCCCCAGCTCTTTAAATAACCCAGGGGATTTCTTGCTGATCCTTGCTCACCTGCTTCCCATGCAGCCCCCAGGTACGTGGGTAAGAGTTTTGGGCAGGGTGAAAGAGCTTTCCCTGGAACCCAGGGGTTCTCTCATAGAGAGGAACGGTGGCTCAGGAGGAGCTTCCCTGAAAGAGCAAATCTCTTTAATGCAGCGTTGCACAGGAGGCAGGGCCAGCGCTGAGGCCTTGTTCTGATGAACAACTTGTGCTGTTTGGACTTTAGCAAGCCCTGAGCTATAAGATGAGGAGGAGCTGTGGGCGCAGAGCTCCTAAATTAGGAAATAAAGTGTTGGACTGAAATTATTGCAAGACAGAGCCCAGGGTCACTGAGTAGCAGCTGCCACCTCCAGCCCGTGGGACAAGCAGCATCTTTCGTACGTGTTCACACAGACACACCTCTCCAAAACAGCATGGCGATGCCCATGTCATCAAGAACAACAGGTAGGACTAGGCTGCCCGACCTCACCCCATCCTTCCACCCCAGCACTGCACTTATTCCCCTGCAAAGAGGGCAGCTGGCAGTGCCACCCCAGGGGACAAGCCACCCCGGCATCAGACAGGTTCCTGTTCAAGGCATCTGACCGCTTTCCACCCCCCCCTCTAATAAACGGGGCAAACGTTTCAGAGGACATCTGCGGGGAAGGACAAAGCGCAGGCAAGTGCTGAGGGGTCTGTTTGCAAATCCCAATCCACCTCTGCGCTCTTCGCCTAAGTCTCATTGTGTGAGTTCATCCATCAAATCCCTGCCTCCAGACAGGTTTTGTGGGAGAACGCCTGGGAGTACGCCTGTTTGAAAGCCTACAGTGTGCAGTTGCTGGAGCCTCTAAAGCTGTCTAAGCTGGGCTGTTAATTCATGCTAAACTGACGTGAAATAAAATAGAGCAGAGAGTGCCAGAAAAATGATTGAACAACCAAACTGAAAAAGAATGAAATCACTAATTTTTTCACTATCTGCCAAATTGGTTGGGCCTTCCAAGGGATCAGCTTTGGAGTCGTGGTTAAGTTGACTTAATACAAATAAACTGCCAAGCTGGCTTTATGGATTCCCAGCCTAGAGGAGGTGTGGATCCTCTCCTGCAGGACGCAACCTGGAGGAGGAAGAGGACTTTATGAATTAAAACCTTTGTCAGAAAATGACACCTAGGAGTGATGCACAGCGAGAGAGCATGCCTGTTGCTAGCTCTGGCATGGAGATAGGAAAGGTAAACCCAAGGCAGAAGAAAGGGAACAAAGGTGCAGGAAGAGTCAATCATTTACGTGGAGTGACACAGCTGTCAAGCATCTGAAAAAGGAAAAGGACATAGGTCTCTTGACTCATCATTTCCCAGCTGCCATTTTCCTCAAAAGAGAAAGGCAAAAAAGAAAATATTTCCAACATTTTCCCCCCCTCCTCTCTAAAAAGGAGAAAACAAAAGGGAAGGAGAAATGCAGGTGTGGGAAGGCAAAGAAAAGGAGAAAAGTTAGGGTGTTCAAAAACCCCTGGGGGAAAAAAAAAAAAAAAAAAAAAAAAAAACACCAAAACACCAAAACCAAAAATCAAAAGCTTCAACATTTCTAATGGTATTAGAAGTAGTTCTGTCCAACACCTGCAAAATCCTGACTGAGGTTTTTAATCATATGTTACAGGAAAGTGAGAGCAGAAAAGGGCTCCTAAACTCCAAAAGAGCAAGAACAGTCAGGAAAAAGCAGTCTCACCTATAAAAACCTGCCTTCTTTCAGCCCGAAGCTGCCTCGCACCAGTGGCACAACTGGGGCTGGAGGTGGCTTCCTGTGATGCTCAGGGGGGTTACAGCAATCCTGCTGGGGTCAACCTGCAGTGACAGGAGCCACGAGAGGTTGACGGCACACTTTGCCTTGGTGCGCACTGTGACCCTCACCTTGGGCACAGCTTTTTGTCCTGGCTGCCATCAGGGCTGCTGCACTAAGAGAGACACGTATTCATTAACCAAGGGCGGATGGTGGGTAGGGGTCAGTGGCCAGCACAGCCAGTTCCCTCACAGCCACTCTCAACCCAGCCGCTGGCAGCGGCATCAAAGCAGAGGGTGAAAAGTCCTCCAATTTTGATCCCTTTGCTGCCTGCAAAGGCTCCCTGAGGCAGCAGCTGGAGGGACTCGGCACGCACCCTGGCTGCAAGGCTGGGAAGCAGCTTGACCATGTGCTGCACTGCTCCTGCTTCAGCCAGATTGGGCTCTGCAGCACAACACCCGCAGCAAGAGCCAGATGCTTCCCCAAGGAGTGTTTCAGTCAAAACAGCCAAGAAGAGGGTGATCCCTCAGTGTACAGAAGGGGAATAAGCCCCAATACAGCACCCTGACCACAGCAGTCAGCCCATGGCCAGCCAGATGCCACGCTGGCCAGGAGCAGCCTTCAGCCTTACGGAGGGCACATCCCTGGGGACTCCTCTGATCTCTGCTGGAGCACACAACCCGTCATGATCGCAGAGCAGCAGCTGGGCTCCTGACTCCATTGGCAGCCAGGGATGAGCTGAACTTGCTGGAGGCACTGCTGGCCCAGCTTGGGAGCAGCGGGGCCCTGCACCCCACAGGCACCCACGACTCCCATGGGGCCAGCAAATCATCTTCTCCTCCGGCATCCCTCCGGATCAGCTCAGCCCTTTGATATGCAGCTACATTGTTCAACCATCTTTGAAGTGTGAAATGAGAAACACCCCGTGTGGGAGGCTGGGCAGAGCCCTCCGGAGCAGCCAGCAGTGCTGCACCAGCCACTGCTGGTGGGGGGGCAATAAATCCACAGCTGGAGCTGCATAAAGTGAGGCAGTAAATAAGAGCATTCACCTCACATTTGCTCTGTGCTAATTACATCGGAGCGCTTCCCAGGCCAGCTCTTGTTTTTCTTGAATGCAGCTAAAGATACATTTTTCATTTTCTTTTCCACACTCTTCTTGCTCGTTTTTGTTTGTGAGAAAAGTCCTTCCAGGAAAGGGGCTCCAGGACCATTTCCATTAGGTTTGGGGCTGATGGATGGAGCGCCCCAGGGGAGGCTAATGCCTTGCGATGGGGGAGCAAATGTAACAGCATCTCTTTGCTCTCCTTAGCCCTCTGTCAGCCCTGAAAGTTGGTATTGCTGTTCCCTAGGGAGCTGTTCTGATCCACAGCCTTTCAGCAGAGGTGGGAGCTCTGAGGGCATCACTCACCCTCAGCTCCACAGCTCACCACAGTCACCTTCCCAGACAAGGACAAACCAACCAAAAAACTCACCATGCCTCCCATGAAATCTTTTTTAGGTACAGCAGTTGCAACACAATAACACGTCTCACTGCATCTATCTCAAAGACATCTCTCCTCTAACCCCTCCACCCCTGCAATCATCTCCATGCCCTCTCTGGGATTCATCCTTAGAGCCTCGCTCTGTCCTCCCTCATTTTTTCTCCTGCGCATGTGCTATTTTCTAGAGGCACTGTCTGGATGCAGGCAGGATCCTTAGAGCACCAGGTGAAACCTCATGGGAAGCCACAGCCCCCCTCATTGCAGCATAACCTATTCGAAGGTACCTGGCTCTCAGGATCTCACACAGGATCATCCTTTTCTTGGGCAATCACCTGGCATGAAAGCACCCAAGTGTTTACCTGGCTTCTGCCCTGTTCCAAGCCCTGTACAACCTGGCAGGCAGGAGCAGAGGCCCACAAGGACACATGTATCAAATGCCTTCGCAGCTCCGGTGAAGCGCTGCTCTGGCCAGTGATACACAGCCCTTGCCATGCAGAGGGCTGCTGCCATGCTCGCAGCGATTGCTGCAGCTCGCCTGGGGCCATAAGTGCTATGGACACGGACAACCCATGAGGTCTGCTCCCAAACGTGGGATTCATCCCAAGGGTTACTCTTCGCTCAAGAAAACCCCTTCCTCCTGACTGCTTCTCCTACCCCCGCCCTGCCAGTATTTTGGCAGGGACCTCCCCAGGAAAAGGGCTGTCCTCCATCACGAACATGCAAGCCTTGCTTGAAGCCCCAAGTCTTGGTGAGGTCCCAAGCTGGGATTGCAAGGTTTGAGCTATTTTTCTGCACATCCCCACTGGAGAAGGAACAAACACAGCCTTTGTTCAGCAAACAGGACACCAGCGGCTCAAGTCTTAGCACAAAACTGCTTGGGGTGCTTCGTGACCACACCTGCCTGGAACAGGTTTTAACAATCACATAATTCCTGCTAATTAACCATGCTTTCCCTTTTGTCCTTAGGAGAGAGGTACCCAGCAGAAGACAGCTAGTTTAACCACCCTGGAGCAGGAAGGCAGCGACTATCCTCCAGAGCAAACCTCCACAGACACACACTCATCCTCATCTCATGCCTTCCAGTCCCAGTGGCATGGGTGAATTGAGTTGCAAGTTGCCATCCACAGGCTGAAGCACTGTGTTTTGCTCAAGTGCCTCATGGAAAGGCAAGGAGCCCCTCCTTGCTTCAGTGGAGAAATTTGCCAGAGGTTTAAGATGTTCAGTGGGATGAAGGCTGCAAAAGAAGGAAGGCTAATCAAGCCCAGCACCTCCAGTGCTGCAGTTCCACATGGACTGCTCTTGTCCCATCTCCTCCAGTGGAGATCACAAGACCAAGGGTGCAGGTTGCTGCAAAACCAGAGTTTGCAAGCTCTCCCCATGACACTGCTATTGCTGAGGGCTGGCAGGGAGAGGTGGTGCTCAGGAGCCAGAGGAGATGGGCTCTTGCAAGCTGGATATCTTCCATGCTAGCCTGGCTGCTTCTTCCAAGGCAAAGCAGCAGCAAAACATCCAGGGAGGTCCTCGTGCTTGGCCCTCCCAGGGCACAGCACAAGAGCTTTTCTCTTCACAGGCCACCGCTGCTCCCCAGCAACAGGGAGTCAAGTTG